ATGGAGAGCGAAGCGCCGGGCGCCCGGGTGCACTGCCCAGGCTGGCGTGCGAGTGCGCGGTGAGCCGTCTCCCGGTGCTGCCACCCGCTGTATCACCATCTTGGACCGGACCCCATCGTCTCAGCCTTCCCCTTTCAGCTCCCAGAGCCCTGCTCCCCAGGACCCCGAAGAGCTCTCCACCCCGCCCCCAGACTCCAGCCTCTCACCCGCCCCTCCCAGATCCCCTGCTGTTCCCTCCCATCCCCGCCAGCACCTGTATGGTCTCGCTGCCTCAGGGACCGTCCTGCCCCACAGTCCAGAGCTGGCCCAGCCGCTCAGTTGTGCTCATAGCGTCAGTCAAGCCTACTGTGTGTCAGGCCAGTACTTTTCAGAAGCTCATTGTCTGGCTCAGGCAGAGGGTAGCTGGGCCGGCAGCACGCAGTCCTGCGGACCGTCCCTGCCCCACCAGGCCCTCCCACCAGCCACCAGACCTTCACTGTCGAATTACAGGCTAAAGCGACCACTTTTATCCTACCCTCTCTCTGCTGGGCCCCTGACATCCACTGTCTCATTAACCCTACGTGCCTTGAGGGGCTGGAGTTGCATGGTGCCCCTTTTACAGACCTGAGAAAGCTGGGCCTGTGGGAAGCCGAGATGGAGCTGGAACGTAACATCAGATCTGCCTGGTTCTAAAACCCCACAGGTGTGGGCACAGTGCTGGGTGCTCTCCAGGCCAGCCCTGTTTCATGGTGAGGCTCAGAAAACACTGTGCTTCCTTCATTAAGTAGACCTGCTATGTGCTAGGCCCTGCGATATTATGATAGAAATATCTATTTGATCTGTCCCTGCTTCCTGACATGAGAGCTTCTAAAACTCATGGAATTTCCTGAGTAAAGGGGGTGATATGATAGGAGCATCTTTGTTATTCATAGCAAGCCCCTTTCAACCACACCAGAGTTTATGCTAATGAGGTGGGCTTGGAGGGCCCCAGATAGCTTTCTGGGTGGGGGCTGGTTGTGCCAGAGGTACCCACCCTGGGATTAGAGGGTTGGAAATTTCGGCTCCACGCCCCACCTCCAAGGAGGCGGGAGGGGCTGGAGATTGACTTAATTATTCTTGACCAGTGAGTTAATTATCATGCCTACATAATAAACTTCCATAAAAACCTCTAAATGATGAGGTTCAGAGAGCTTCTGGGTTGGCAGACACATCCACCTGCTGGGAGGGTGGCACACCCCAACTCCATGGGGACAGAAGCTCCTTTGCTCTAGACCTTGTACCCTATTCATTTGTATCCTTTATAACAAACCAGTGAGAGTAAGTTAAGTGTTTTCCTGAGTTCTATAGGCCATCCTAGCAAACTACTGAAACTGAAGGGGGTGTGTGGGAACCCTCGATTTTGTCGCCAAGTTGGACAAAAGTTTGGGCACCCTGGGTACCTCCTCCTTGAGTCCGAAGTGGGGGCAGCTTTGTGCGACTGAGCCCTCAACCTGTGCAGTCTGTGGTTCCAGGTAGTGTCAGAGTTGAGTTGTAGGACACCCCATTGGTGTCCAGAGAGGTGGAGAATAAGTCACTGGTGTTTTAAAACAAACAAACAAACAACAACAACAAAAAACAGACCCCACATTTGGTGTCAGAGTGCTGGGCAGCTGTGGAGGCCCCTTTTAAAGCCTAGGAACCGAACGGAGTGGCCACATTTCCCTGCCTTGAGGGCCCCCTACTCTGTGCCTGGGTAGAGAGGAAGAGTAGTGCCATTGCAACTGAGAGAGGTTGATGCCAACAACCACCTGCTTGCAGGCATCATCAGAGAGCATTGGGGAAATATTTGTAAATGGTACAGTGCTGCACTGCCACTGGGTATCGCCATTGTTCTGAAATGCACATGAAGAAGAAAAAGAAGTGGGGAGAGGAAGGAGGAGAGGAAGATAAGTAGGAGAAGGAGGGCAGGGGAAGAGAAGTGATGGAGGAAGAAAGGAGAAGGAAGGAAAGAAAACTCAAAACACTCAAAGCACTTTCCACTGGGTTGATATTTTACAACCCTCAGCCCCGTGAGAAAAGTATCCTTTCACTCCTTGACTTGGAAATACCCTGTAAGTTCTGAGTGCTGGACAGAGGCCATCTCACTATTATAAAGGACTTGCTCCTGCCCCTAGGGAACTGGGAGGTGATGCCAAGGCCTGGCCAAGAGCTGAAGCCAGATGGACCTGGGCTTGGATGCTGTTTAGGCATTGTTAAGAAGGCAAGCCTTGGTCCCCTCCTCGGATCATTCCAACCTAACAGCCTTCCCTGTGGCCTAGTGTCAGTCTCTATAAGCAGGACTGATTGCTGTCAAGGAAGCTCTGCCTGCCCTCCGCTCCGCCAGTGACCATCTCCTTGAGTTCAACGCACAACCTCATGAGGTCGCTACTCTAGTCCTCGGTTTACATACGAGGAACCTGGGGTACTGAGAGGTTAGTATCTTGCTCAGAGTCACACAACTTGTTAGTGGCCGAGCCCAGATTCAAATCAATGCCTTTCTGCCTCCAGAGCTCAGTCAGGGATTCCATCAAAGATGGTTGGGAGTGTATGTGTGGCGGGGGTGGGAGTGGGGTGTCACATAAACTCATTTTACCCAAAGCCTGCAGACCTGTAGGCGGCTAAGCATTAAGAGCCTGAATGTTCGCACAGCCCCAGCACAGAAGTCCATCAGGCAGAGGCTGAGGCCTCATCAGGCTCGTGCTGCCGTCTTGTGGCCCTGCCCTGTCATTGCATTGCTTGCAGGCTGGGCTGGCTCAATGGGGCTGCATTTCCTGTTTTCCAGGGTTTCCTGGGCCCCCAAACAGGGCGCGTTGATCCTGAGACGTAAGGAATCTCCATAACTGCTGACCCATAACTCTCTGTTCCCACATTACTAATTCAAGTCCTAACTATCTCTCCTTACTGTGTTCAACTGCTCCCTCTAGGAGCAGCCCCTCCTTACTGTGTTCAACTGCTCCCTCCAGGAGCAGCCCCTGACCCTCCAGCCCCTGACCTCTGTCTCCCCTCCATGCATCAAGCATCTTTCTTCCACTCTGAGCCAGTTAGATCCCGTGGTCCATCATTTCAATGACATCTTGGCAATACCCTAACTCCCTTCTCCTCATTTCCCAGTGGTGCTGCTGGCCAACCCCAGGTGAACCCACCTACACCTGAGCGGATGAGTCTTGCTGGAGAAAGTTTCCAGCAGGCCAGTGGCTCCACTCTGAACGCATGTTACCAACCTGAGCCTGGCTTCCAGGATTCCAGCATTCCCACGATGCGTCTTAGCTCCTGCTCTCCATAGGAACAGGTGCCACCTTCCTCCTCCACTTGCCTCAAACCCGTGAACACAAGCCATCCTGAGATGGACTTGCCTCCTGCCTCCTACTTGACAGAGAAAACAGAAGCCACCAAAGAGGAACTTCCTGGTTTCTCACCTGTCCCCAATCTGCTCCTGTTTTTTTTTTTCCCCTCTCTCAGTCCAGTTACACCAGGGAAGTTGCTCGCCTCTGTCCTAGGTCTGCTCTCTCTCCAGCTGCAGATCCCAATCCCTCCCCTCCCACCTGCTCAGGAGCTTTTCAGGATCCACTGATCTTTCTCTTTGCGATGCCTTCAACCTCATCCTCTCTAATGCATGCTTTCCACCGTTTCTTTTGTTTTCTTATTTGACTTTTTCTGATGGAAGTATCCCCTACATATAGACCAGTGTACTAAGTGTAGAGTCCATGAATGATCACACGATGGCAGCATCCATGCCACCAGCACCACCATCAAGAAATGGAACATTACTAGCACTCTGGAAACTCCTCTGTTCTGGTTACTATGGCTGTGAAACAAATGACCCCAAAATGCAGTGGTATAAAATAACCATTTGTTATGTTACTGATTCTGGGGTTCAAGAATTTGGTTTAAGCAATTTGCTCAAGGTCACATGGAAAGTAGTTGATGGAGTGTGGGTTCAAATCCAGGGCAGGCAGAACCCCTGAGCTTGTCCCCTGAAACCCACAGCCGAGCTGGAGCTATGGGTAATGTTAGCTGCTATTTCCTGAACCTCCTCAGTGCCAAGCCTCGTGCATGGCACCTCCCAGTTGTTGGTGGCTTTATGCCTCCCACACCCTGTGACATGGGCACCTTCATTATTCCCCTGTGGGAGTCAAAAAAACAGAAGGCCACCAGGAAGCTGAGGGAGCACAAAACCGCACATGGATGCTGGGCCAGGCCACGTGAGGACCTGGCAGCGTTTGGATCAGGGAGAAATGGCTCCAGGGTGGACCGTGAGAGCTTCTTTCAAATATTTGAGAAGCTTTCAGGGAGTAGAAGACTTAGACGTTGTTGGTTCCTGAGGGGGAAATCAGCCCCTACCGTGAAAATAAGTAAGCCCTCAATAAATGCCAGCTGTCATTGTTGCTGTTAATAAGTGATGCCTTCCCCATCTCTGAAAGTATTCAGAGACTGATCAAACTCATCTGTGGGCCATTGTAGAGGGAATTTTGGCATCAAATGAGGATAGGAGACTTGATGGCCAAGGACCCCCACCTCTGCCATCTAGAAGTCTGTGACATGGATGCCAGTGAACCACTGCAGTTCTCAGGGGCTGCCTCTGCCCCGTGTAACCCACTTAGGTAATCACAGTATTTACTGGTGTGAGTGCCGGGCATCTGTCCCCGAGC